TTCCTCCTGAAATCAATGACCATCTCTCTGGTCTTGGCCACATTCAAAAGCAGATGATTTCTTCCAGTCCACTCAACAAAATCACCCACCAGCGCTCTGTACTCCTCCTCCCGTCCATCCCTTATACACCCTACCACTGCAGAGTCATCCGAAAACTTCTGCAGGTGGCATGACTCTGAGTTGTATAGAAAGTCAGAGGTGTATAAGGTGAACAGGAAAGGAGACAGCACAGTCCCCTGTGGGGCTCCAATACTACCAACCACCACATCAGACAGCACACTGCCCAGCCGGACGTACTGTGGTCTGTCCGTGAGGTAGTTGGTAATCCAGGAGATGGTGGACGAGTTTACCCTCATAGCCTGCAGCTTGTCACTCAGTAGCCGAGGCTGGATCGTGTTGAATGCACTGGAGAAATCAAAAAAGGTGATTCTCACAGTGCAACCCGATCCATTCAGGTATGAGTGAGCACGCTGCAGCAGGTAAATAATGGCATCGTCCACCCCCAGGTGAGGCTGGTAGGCAAATTGCAGAGGGTCAAGGAATGATCTCACCTGCGGTCTGAGATGGGCCAAGACCAGTCTCTCAAGCACCTTCATCACATGAGATGTGAGTGCTACAGGGCGATAGTCATTGAGCCCAGAAGGAGTTGTCTTTTTAGGGACCGGAACAACGCATGATGTCTTCCACAGCACCGGGATGGTCTCCAGGTGCAGGCTCAGGTTGAATATATACTGGAGAACAGGAGCCAGCTGGCGTGCACAGGTCCTCAGGACCCTGGGGCTGATACCATCAGGGCCAGCAGCCTTGCCTTGGTGGAGTTTTTCCATCTGACTCTGGACCTGTCCTGTGCTCACAGTGAAGCGGGGGGGGGGGGCTAGATGGAAGGGGGGATAGAGGGGGGGGGGGTCTGAGGCAAGATGAGCAGAGGGGGGGGGGGGGGGGTCAGCGGCAATGTGAGCAGAGGGGGGGTGCAGAAGCCAGGCTGGGTGGTGGAGGAGAGGTGTGAAGTGTAGGTGGTGAGCAGAGGGGGGATGTTGACGCCAGGCTGAGAGGAGTGATGATGTCATCATCTTTTTTGGCTTGTGTAACCATTAGCCAATCACCAACCAAGGTAACACCCGTCCACCTTATCACCTGAATCTCCTCCTAGAGCACCATTGTGTTCTTTTTAACCAAATATATCGCAGAGGGGCTCCTTATTTTTCATCTAAAGTAACAGACAGAGAATCAGCACTTTTGAAACAGGGCTGAAACAGAGGGGTTTATGGGATGCTACAATGCATGATCTGTTTGGTATTTCGAGCCAAACACTTCAGAGACATGTTTTGTATATATCTGAGACCTGTAATATTGATGAAAAACAGTATAATAGGGGACCTTTTAATATTTCGATATATCAAGTATTTACATCACACTTAGACCGGCTTTATATAAACATGAACATCTTTTAACAATTTGGGATCTTTAAATAAAAGTACAAAAGTATTAATACCAACGTATACTTACCAATAAAAGTACAAATACTATACAAAATAATCCCTTTCAAACAAATGAATATAGTATCGCTGGATTGCAATTATTATTATTATCATTAATGTGTTCATCAGTTTATGCTGAAAGAGGTGGAGCTAACTTTAATGACCTTATACTAGCTTCGATAATAATACATTGCTATATATTAATTGGTTTATATTTCTAGTCTGAATTTTTAAAGCTAAATCTGTAAAAAATAAATGTAGTGAAGTAAAAAGAGAAATGTATTCCTTTGAATTGTAGTGCAGTAGAAAAATGAGAAGTAGAAAATGGAAATACTGAAAGTGCAAATAACTCAAAATTGCACTCAAATACCCTCTGAGACACCCTTGCGTGCACACACACACATACATGTACACAATATTACACACAACCACACACACACAGGGCTTAAAAGGATCACACGATGCTCAAGATGCATTCCTTGTTTGCTTTTGTCTCAGGGGACCGTGGAGACAAATGCCACAGTGAATCTGAGCCTTTTAAGTGTGTTAAAAAAAAAAGCGGTACCCCATAACACTAGCTGAATGTGTATATGTGTCTTGTGCTATATAAATAAAACTTGACTTCACATTGTTGAATATTTCATTCAGTCAAACGCGACACAGTTTATTATCTCTTCACATCTTTTCCAGTATGAAAATAACAATATTGAAAATAAATAACATTAAATAAGAATGTGAACTTCATTGTAATTCTGTTTTTACCACTTTATGTACCACATCACTATGAAGACGTCATTAAATATCTTCGGATGCTTTTTACCGTGTCACCAACATCCACTGCTGCTCATTTCTGACATTTTAAATGTTCTTTTTGGTAAAACTCACTAACATCATAGGCATTGTAACTCCACTTCTTACTTAAAACACAATACCGTTACAAAGTGTGTAATCTCCTGCCACCAAAGCTTGATTGTCTCCAGTTATGTCTGAGAGGACTGCTCTATGTGTTTGAACCTTCATGTTTTTAGAAAGTTCTCTTTACAAATAGCTGTGATTTTGTGTGAAAGGTTTGCTCTGTAGATGGAGAACTGTAGAGGATTGAACCAGATAGACAATTGAAAGTCCAGAAGAATCCCTCTGGGCATTAGTTCAATAAGAACTGGAATAAACAGGAAATGTGCCGCTTAAGCAAGCTCTTTGTAAAACTGCAGCAGAAATAAAAGGTTAGCGTTAACACAATTGGAACTGGATCAGGAAACATCCTCTGAGGATACTTTTCTCACAAACCCCAGTTTAACCTCTTCAATCTAACTACTCAATGGACTGTAGAGGGCACAAAGAAAAATACCTCTACGTGCGTTTTTTGAGCCAATTTGAAACGTAGTGGTTGGGTAATGATAATTGGTCCTTTAACACATGCCAATTTCTTGAGTGATTTAGCCTGTTATTCCTGTGCATTTCTGCTTTTCACGTGTCATTTGTTGGCAAAGCCTTTTTAGAGGCAACTTCTTTACGAGTAAAGTGACACATACAGTAAAGAGCATGAAAGTCTGCATAGAGAGGATGGACGGGTCAAACTGCAGGACTTTCTCAGGAGACATTTCTTATGCAAAACCCCAAATCAATCAGAGTTAATACCGTTGACTACTTACTTATGCATAACTTCATTTAAGTAACATACAAACATTTTGACACAAACCATGATTTTTTCTAAACTTGAACAATGAGTTTGGTTGCCTCAACATAACCATAGTTTTCTTTGAATTAACAGCATTAATGTGTTTCAAACTGGTGATATGAGATGAGCTGGGACTGGGGCTTTAAATGACACGCTAAAGCTTAAAATGCGTGAAATGACACCAAAATGCCCTTTGAAGCATCATGATAATTAAACACCTTCCCATGAGATAACTTTGGACAAAAAAATTACATTATTCCCCCATCATGAAATTGATTAAAATATAAGTTTGAAAATGTAAATTCTTCTTCTTTCTGAGCAAAAACGATTTAAAATGTCAGTAACACATTTGGCGTCCGCATTATACTGTTATTATCTCAATTAAAATAGACATTATGGAAAGAAAATATGACAGCTTAATTAAAAACATTTCATCCGTAGTGTAATTATGCGTTATATTACCCCCATATACTGTACATCCAATTACTCATGATGCAGCTTCACTCAGCTGATCAACACTAGAAGAAGACACATCACAGCAGCATGTGAATTCCTGTTACCTTAAACATTTTTGACATTTCATCAGAACCAGAGCTCACAATTCTATTGGGTATTAGTGCCATTGTAGGTAACTAGAAACATGTTTTATTATGCAGCCTTGAGAGGGGGGGTATCATGAGAATTGCGATAATACAGAAGAAGACAACACAAAAACGTCAATATAAAAGAAATCCCTTATAGAAAGATGTGTACAATTTTGGGCTATGCAATTAAAATATAAACAACTTAGCTTGACTATTTTCTTTGTAAAAACGGAATGTAATATTCAGGGTAAAAATTCAGATTTTTCCAAATTTAAATTCTTATTGTTTTTGAAAATCTTCATTCCCAGAGAATTTAACAGAAATGTTACATTGTTTTATTTTAGTATTACCCCAATCCAATGGCTCTACAATTATAAAAATGAACAATGGTCCTAATATGCCATGCACTTAACTTGAAAAGGAAAACAAAAATGGATTTTAGAGCAAAATGATGATGTTCATATACAATTTGACACAAACAGCAGTTGATACAAATGCACAGGTGCTAGGCATACTGGTATAGTAGGAATGTGGACTGTGACTTGCTGATCACATGGATGAATGTGCCCATGATTCACAGTGTGTGGTTTGTGTTTTTTTGGTTTATATTTGTGTCTTTAACCCCCTGTTTATATTATATTTATATATGTACAATCAATCGGTAAATAGAGATACTGTGTAGCTTGTTCCCATCATGTTTCAAGTCAACCCAACCCAACACCACGGAACGTCATTTGATGAGATACAAGAATACAAGAATGAACTTCTTCCTGGTAAAATAAACTGTATATCACTGGTTTGCTGGTAGAGAGGAAACAATAATAAGTCTCTTTATTCAGCTGAAGAGTTTTGTTCCAAAAACATCATTCAAAGTCCATTCTTGATCTTATAGGAAATAATAAAAAAACACAGTGAACATTTCTTTTAATCCGCTATTTAAATCATGAAAATGTACTTAAAGCAATACAGAGATAACAATTTTCCCTGTGAATGGAATACTATTAAATCATTAGATTATGATTTATGCATTCATGCAAATGCAGAATTACTGTTGTATTGGTGGAGGTTAAGTTAATGTTGAACTTAGTTTATTATCATTATTGAACCATAAAACCTTTAAATACAATAAATAAAATACTTGCCGATACATTTTCTAACAATCAAGTATGTATTTGTATTTAAATATATAAATATAAAATATATTATAAACTGTTTAACATAATATAACATCATACTTTATAGACTCTTCATAATCTCATAAAAAAGTACCTGAAATACAGTACTTGAGTAATTGTACTCAGTCAAGAATCTATGATTTTTGTACATTAGAGTAAGACAGGCTAACTATTCCCCCTGCTTCCAGTCTTTATGCTAAGCTAGGCTAATTACTTCCTGCCTCTGATTTTTCTTCATAGTCGATGTATTATTTTAGAACAAAACTCTTCAGGTATAAAATGATGGAATGCGTTCAACGTTCTGGACAAATTATAAAAGTAGCATGACTGCACTGAACAGAATTAACAAACACCATGACCAGACAATTGTTTGTGACAACAGAATACAAAATAAATTCATTTGAATAACTTAGTTTAAGTCCAGTGTCCGCAGGCGTGGAATCCAGTTCAGTGCAGTCCAAGCGGCCAAAGCTCTGAGTTTTCACAGATAGCGAAACAAATAAATTAAAGTATGCAAGCAGGAATACAACAGAGACTTTCTATGGCAGGCAAACATTAACGAATATGGAGTGCTGTACATTCACACCCTGATTCAAAGTCACCCAGCTTGGTCACGTGCATCACTTGATCCACTAACCTCTTGCTTTTCTAAAGTCTGCAGTGTCCTTTTTCTCCGTCCTCATCCATTTTTACGTCTGTGTAATGTCCCTCCGGAGGTTTAGGAGACTGATGCAGTCCCTCTCTGTGGCCCTGCCCCAGCTCACAAAGTGGTTCAGTGTACTCCAGTGATCTGGCAGAAAATGATGACGACAGCTCAAAAAACTGTATCCAGGTCGGCGCCGGCCTTCTGTCTCATAGTGACGAGGACTGCTTAATGCTGTGAAAGCTGACCCGTGAAGGGGAGGTGGGGATGGACATGGCCTGGGTCATCCGGGCCCGGATGGAGTGCTGCTCCTGCCACCGGTGGAACCGCTTTCTCACAGCCGACCGCACCTGGTGACAACAAAACAGGAAGAATCATAAAAGGTCAGCTGATCTAGTGCAGGGGTTTCAAACTCAAATACACAGTGGGCCAAAATTAAAAAATCGGTACTAGTCGAGGGCCGGACTGGTTCAATGTATATTACAAAACGTATTGAAATGAACCTATTGCACATATTAAATCTGGAACTAACAAAGCTTAAATTATTGCCTATAAAAACATCATTAAACATTAAATAATCAGTTTTAAATAATAGTTTAAAGGGGACCTATCATGCAAAATGCACTTTTGTACGTCTTTTATACATGAATATGTGTCCCCGGTGTTCCAGGGAACTCACCAAGTGTCAGAAAACACAACCCTCTCTATTTTCCTCCATACCCAAATCTCTAAAAAAGGGGCTGCAACGGATCTGATAAAAACTGATCCAGATTTGAACACTGTCCTGACGTCAGGACGGTGGCGCTACGGCTATTGGGCCAACTCCACCAATCAGGAGGAGACAGCCACGGCCATTGCCGTTCGAAAGCGCTGGAGACGCTGTAGTACATATGCCAGGCCAGTAGATGGTGCTGTTCTCACAGAATCAGCCCTTGCTAAAACAGAGCTACAAAAGTGCAAATTGAGCGAAATGAGGCATGGCTAAAATGCATGATCTGTTTGGTATTTTGAACAAAAAAAAGTATAAATATGCCTTATATAGGTATGGTCCTACACTATATTATTAAAATATAGCATGATAGGTCCACTTTAAGCCAGATACTTGGCATCTCATCTTGGATGCAAGTTCATCAATATTTGGGGTCAGGCTCTGAGGTGAGGAAATCCTCAGGATTGAGTGAAGGTGTGCGTGCAATATACCGGCGGGCCAGATCTAATAGGAATTAGAAATTATCCTGCGGGCCTTGAGTTTGAGATGTATGCTCTAATCTAGTGCATGTAAATGGTCTGCAAAGGATAAAATCATTGTGTTCTCTCCAGAGGGAGTTTCTCTCCCAAACAATCTCCCCTGCCTGAAACTCCTCCATTTGACTCCTTTGGTTACTTCTGGGACATAATGACATCACAATAGCCGCGTTCACACCAAGTACTTTGCCGTATTTAGTGCCGGCACTCAGAGCCCCGGCACTTATGACCCCAGGGCATTTAGTACAGATCGCGTTCACACCGGAGTACTTTTCCCTGAGGGAAGATTACGCAAATGAGCCGCTGACGTCACTTCGTCTTCTTCTGCTTTGGGTTTACTGGCAGGCCGCAAACAACTTCACGGCGTATACTGCCACCCGGAGTCCCTGGCCGGAAGTCCCCGGAGTTGGGGACTGGCTTCAGTAGAAGCTGCTGGGACTCCCAGCAGCTTCTACTGAAGCCTTCCGAGTAAATCGCCAGAACGCCGACACCTCCTCATCTCCACCGCTCCCATGTTTTGTTTTGTGTTGCCATAAGTTAGTCTCTCTGCGTTTGTGCGCTGGGCGAATGCTAATGCTAATAATGCTAATGCGAGGATAATAAAATGGCGGCTCTACAAAACATTTCAGAGTTGTACGGGGCGTGGTTTGCAATTCGCCCAGCCAACCAGAACTGGGGCACTTTTTTCCCCCAGGAAAGTACGATCTCTCAGCAGGCACTAAAAATGGGGGTAAAAGTTCCCGAGATTAAGTGCTCTTTTTGGTGTGAACGCGACATAAGGGGTACTAACGGAACTAAACGCGAAAAGTACGGTGAAATGTACTCCGGTGTGAACGCGGCTTATGTAACACTCACGCCAACACATTGTACGTGCCAGGCTAAGAGGCGGGACAACTTAGCGGTTCACCAATCACAACAGAAGCCGCCATTTAACCAATCAGAGCAGAGTGGGCTCTGTGACATAATGACATCACTGTGTAACACTTGCGCTTCTATTGGCACAAAATACAAATATGAACCTGAAAATGAGCATATGTCCTCTTTAAATGTCTTTGTCTTTGCTGTTTTAGGCCATTTAATGATATTTTAATATGTATGAAAACAGCAGACAAAAGTACATTTCACGTACTGTACTTAAGTGGAATTTTGAGGTACTTTTTTATTTTCTGCTACTTAACAGTTAGAATTCCTAGAACCTTTAGTTATTAAGACTTTGCAGATCTAGATTAATAGTATAACATGTAATCAGTATACATTATTATATTGGGAGATGTGCATCAGGGGGGAAATGACTGTCAACCAATTGGAGGTTCAGTGGTTCAGTCCCTACAGTCAGCGGTCAACATGTTGAAGTGTCCTTGGGGAAGACACTGATCCCCAGAGGTGCTTTGTAAGTCGCTTTGGATAAAAGCGTCAGCAAAATATATGTAAGATGATATTATATGAGTAAGACATTATTGATCCACAGGGGGAAATCCAAAACCTTTTAAAAGTCTCCATGGAAGACTTTCCTTCAGTGTTAATTTCGGAAACTATGACAAAATAGGTTTAGCACTTACCATTTGTTCCATGACTTAAAATTATAAGAAGGCAACAATTTCATTAAACACTTAATGTGACTCTGTCAACATTCATAAGCTGACAAAAAAAATGAGACTAAAATGTTGTGAAAATTAAAACGATCCCAACATCTCTTTTTGTCACAGTCTACCTTCGTCTGTGTTCTTGTCTCTTTTAGCTACTATATCATATATGTATAATAATACATGTTGCACTTCCTTGGGTTAGGTCAGGTTTATGTTGATTGATAATGGCATAGTTGGGTGGAGCAGATTCTCTAATAATGTGGGTTGAGTGGATGGGGCTGACCTACACACTACTAATGAGTTCAGTCTGGAGGACTCGGAGTAGCAGAGCTGCATAGTCACTCAATCTGGGTTTTTCAATTGATCATGATGAGGTGAAATAAGTTTGAATCCAAATGAAAATATATTTGTTTTTGGCTTGTCTGATTTATTAGATTTTATATATACAATCTAATAATGACAAAAAAAAGGACATTTGACAAAGGAAAACATTTTGCCTAGTGATGACTTAATAAATGATAAAATGTTGACATAAACTGGAATAAAAATATATGTTGTTTTTGACTAAATATATATAAATTAAATTAAACTGACTAAAATAGGACTAAAGCTAGTAAGAATTTATTTTATCAAGACAAATACTTTACCTTAATAAAATCCAAAATGTATATATTGTTTTGGCATGAATGGGCTTCCATACTTATCAATCTCTGCTATTTAAAATCAAATTTGCACCTGCAATTCCACTAAATTCCATTTAGTTTGTAACCAGGATCTATTGCTACATCTTGCAGTAAATCAGTTTAATGATGATTAAAAAGGGTTCCTCCTCTTCTCCTCTCCTCTCTCACGTCCAAACCAAAATCAATCGTCCCATGTGTCCCACTTCTCTACATCCCTGCCTTTAGTAATCACTATCCAAAAAAGAGCTTTAATCTAAAAAAAGCTGATCCCCACAATCACTCTAACACACTATGATATTTCACATCTCATTTCATCAGTGTGTTAACCAGTGTTGTATTGGCTTCTGTCATCTGTGAACAAGATTTAATCCTCCCGGCACATGTTATGGAACGAACTGTGTTCCCCTTCTCGCAAGTGACCACGGCTATCCTTTGTTCATCTGTCTCATTTATTTTCTGCTATTCTCAGCCTGAAACAAAATCCTAAATCAATATCCTCTGTAAACTACACACGCTGGTTAAGCTCCTTGTTGGTCAGTGATGAGACATCCATTCATCATCTAGCCGGCTCTCACAGAGTGGGATGTTGACCAAAGGCCAGCAGTCAGCTGATATCACATCCATGTGCCGCTCCTCGAGGAACACCTTGTAAAGTGATGATTATTCTGCAGTGGACTGAATCACCAGATTACGATTCAGCAGACGAACCAGCAGGCTGTCCTGATTAAACTCAAGATCTGACATAATCCTCATTACCACACAAAAAGGTCAGGTGATACTATATCTTAATGCTTATTTCATCTTCATCACGCAGGTTTTAGCTGAAGCCAAAAGGGTATTGATCGCTACTTGGGAGAGCACGATGTGGAAGTTAATTTACCCTTTGAAGTAGAAAGCTGTCCTTTTTCAGATAAAACCTTTTAAAGGCTCTAAAAATTGATTTTCTCTGTCAGCTTCTATGATAACAGATGAGGTCCTTCATGAACCGGTTTGGCCTTATAAGTATTTATTGCTGAAAAACATTAGCGAACAATTAGAACCAACAGGGTTTACAGGTCACTATTTAATTTAGGAAGATTAAAAAAGAAATTATGACATTGAAGTGGCCAGGTTTCATTTGAAAAACAGGAAATTTAGAAATATATTGATTACGATGTGAAAAAAGCTGTTTGGTTGTCAATCAAATCACCTGCTGAACTTACATGTTACGTGTGGGAGAGAAACTCCCTCTGGGATTTGAGCCTTTGCAGACCATTTACATGCACAAACACATATAACACACTACAGGAGAGGGAAACCCCCCAAAAGTATAGAAGGACCTCTTTATGATATATTTTATACTTTTGGGGTTTATACTTTTTTTAAACTTGCATGATTTTCTTCTGATTCATATTTAATGAGCATAGTTGAAGGGAGCCCAAAACTCCTTCTGTGCTGTGTTCTATAAATATAACAAATAACTTTGAACGAAAAAACATGTTTTCAGAGGCTTTCAAAACCTTTTCAAATATGTAGCAAGAAAGGGAAAGCTCAGCAACAGAGACAATGAGTTACGATGAACTAACTGAAACAACAGAGCTATTGTTTCTTATACTGCTACAGAGTGATCCGTCAGTACTGCCTGGTGCTTTATTTTGAAATTCAGTCAGTCGGTCTTTCACTACGTCCCAAATATGTCGATAGTTCTTGGATGGATTGCCGTGCAACCTCTTCTGCTTCACTTTTGTTATTTTGCTGCCTGTGAAGTGTAAAAGTTAAACTAAATAATCATTTGTGTGCTTGTTATTGCTTGGAAACTTCTGCAGAGATTGTGCAAAGATGGGAGGAGGGACAGGTAAGGTGGAGGAGAGGAGGGTTGAGATCTTTTGGAAGAAGACAAAAAGATTGATGCCTATTACTTTTTTAGATTTTTCTCTAGCTTGTGCAATGCTTTGCTTTTGGTAATTTATCTCTGTTTTTGGGTATGAAAACATTGTATATCCCACACATATTCAAACACACATTCAAAGATTTCATCCCCCACAACAGGAATCATATAACAAAAACTACTAAACAATAAAACGAATTAAATAGTAAAAAGTAAGAATAATAAATAATTTGATAAGATCAGTGTGGTTAATTTAGATTCAAACAATAAAGGAATTAAACAGTAAAATGTAAGAATAATACATAATGTGTTAAGTTCAGTGTGGTTAATTCAGATTTAAACCTAATAAATAAATCCTATAGCATTAAGTAGGAGAGTGTGCAACATTTAAATACGTTTCAAGATTATTATCTTATAAACAAGGACACATACATAAGAGATAGGTAACATGACATCTACCCTATAACACCACGTCTTATTATTACCAATAACCTTTGTTTTTACTTACAGTTTTGATACATTTGATTGAACCTGGTGTCCCAATGTTGAGTTATTTATACATTTGCTTTTCTCTCTCTGTTATTGTATAGTGGTGAACCCTTCCCACTTGCAGCATATTTTCCCCGTCCGGTTTTTCAGCCGGTGCAGAGTTACTTCCTGATTATGGGAGTTGTTTTTTTTCCAAGAGAATGTGATCTCTGCACTGGAACACTGATAAATACACACCTGGTGTTTGCAATACCAACTAAGCTTATTTCATTTACATCTGGCAGGTCCTAGCCAAAGCCAAAAGGGTATTGATCGTAACTTTGGAGAGCACGATGTGGAAGGTAATTTACACTTTTACTGTAGGTGCAAAACTGCACTTCAAAAAACAAAAACTTTAAGGCTCTAAAATGGATTTTCTCACTCTGCTTCTCATACTATGAATGATGAAGGCCTTTATGAACAGTTTTGACTTCTGAATCAAAACAAAATGAGTTTGAATTGGCCAGGGTTCATTAAAAAAAGGTGAAATTCAGCAATATTCCAGTAAAAATGTGACAACAGCTGTTGGATTGTCAATCTAACCACTTGATAGTGTTTGCAATATCTACGGGAAACCACGTAGTAGTCGTTTTTGGCTAACCATCTGACTCTTGTATAGTCCCCATAGTAATCCATACTGAACAAATCAAGCAGGTCCTTTCATACAGATACTTGGGTGCATTGATTGAACAGCTGCTGTCATGGAAAACCCAGATTTCTGGTTCTTATTCTGCTTATTCTTATTCATGCTTTTTTAAATAATGTTTTTTTTTGCCTTTAATAATAGTGCTCCAGTATACTCTGGAACAAATATCTGATGCCTATTTTTATACATGGTAATTAAATCACTTCTATAAGTACTGGTAATATTAATAATAATTTCATAACACATTAAATGTAGCATCTCTGCATGCATATTCATATTTCTGCACTATTTTTAGAGGGTTTCACCCCCGATTTCTCAGTGAGACCAAATTAAGACTGACATTGTCATAAGGAGTAGAAATTGATGTCACTTACATATGACAAGTCTTAATTATGCCCTAAATAAAAATGCTTCCAGCGTTATCACTCAACAACAACAGCCACCAAAAGGGAGAGTGGAAGCGCCTGAAGATGGGTAATATAAATACATGTTGGAAGCAAGGGGGAATGTTAAATGTTAGATCAATAAGCGGATGTGAATGTGCTTACCTCGCTGTTTAGGAAGCAGTAAAACACAGACACAAAGAAGCCCTGTGTGGTGAGGAAACAAAACATCATATAAAAAGGAGGGCATTCAAAACGTCAACGCCCTGATCCAGTTTCCATCACATGCACAGCAGCTTGTCAAACGTTACACTCATTCAGTCATCTCTAAGGATGAACAATTCATCCGTCCAATACTTGTTAATCAAAAATACACCCATGCAGATGATATTACACCCTGAGAGCATTTAGTACGTCTACACATACCTGGAAGGACTCCAAAAAAGAGTTGAAATATATAAAGACAATTTGAGAGATCTCATCTTCCCCCGGGTTGACAAAGAACAGCATATAGGTGAGTCCCAGGAGAGGAAGAAGTACCAGTGTAGCCTTCACAGCTTTCCTGCAGACGATCAAAAAAACAGACAGGAAGGCTGTTTTAAAACTTTTACTCACTGACATCTGTATCCCTTCACCACACTCGACAGATCCAAGTATACAACATGAATTATTTATGTGTGCACATTCCGGAGAAGCTCAAAAGTTTTGTCTCATGCATGTTCACCTGAATAATGCACGTGACAGTAAATGTACCTGTATTGGATTGTCTCTGACGTGGTGGAGGCCCGCAGTTTGGTCATCAGGATTCTCACGATGTTGAAGAGGAAGATGAAGTTGATCTGTTGGGTAAAGCAAACACAGCGATGAATTTGAGACCTTATATAAAGGGATTATAGTGTCTAGAAAGAGGCTGTTCAGGGGTCACTGTTTAAAGCAAACAATGGAGGATGGTTGCCTGGCAGCAGTGGGATACAAAACTCATCAGAGTGTACGGACAACAAAGCCCGGAGTGAGGGTCTCTCACCTGCGGATTCAACTCTCTCCAAAACAGGAAGGCCCTGAGGAACTCTCGTGTTGTGAACCACACAGATGACGTCCGTATACGCATCACGGGTTTAAACTATCATCAGGTTTTAAAAAACACTTTCCCAGTAACTACAAAAAAAAAAACAGCTTTGCTTTCTCTAATGGCCTTTCATTTATTTTGAAAGAAATATGGAAGCCCATTTGTGCCAGAAAAAGGAAATAATTGATTGAGGTACTTAAATTCAGATTTAGGGTCAAACTGTATGTGTACTAAGTCAACAATATTTATTTCAAAATCAAGGTTAAGTCTATTTAAAGTTAAAACATTTTTTTTGTACAAAAGTATAATTTCAAAGGAATCAGATTGCAATATATTATTTTACATGATAATATTACTACATTAAATAACAATTGATGGTTGTTATTGCATTTTTAATTGGATTTTATTTTCTAGATTAATTGATTAGTTAGGTCTACATTGCAGAGAAAAGCGAAAAATGTTTATTTAAGTTCCTCACACTCCCAGGTAATTAAAAATACTTTAACAATTTATAAATGATTCCAACAGTTGGTAATTGTTTTCCTGTTGATCAACCTATAATTACAGAGCTTCCTCCATCACTGTGGATGGCAGCAGGATGGTGTATGTTGGTCAGATTTCCTTTTTTGTGATTGACTAGGAAGAAAAATATTAAATAACACCAGCATTATCCTTTAATGATACTTAAACCTGTAACTGTTATCTAAAGTGCACCTTGAGATTAATATTCCCCACAATGTGATGAATGACACAATCAATAGCTTGCGCAATAGGTGTGGATTATGTAACAACGGAGCAAAAATAGCTGCAGGAACACTACCCAGGACCAGATGACCTGACCTTGGCCTGAACAGATGGATGGCAATCTCTCAAGAAGCATCCATTTCACCAGCTCAATAACCTCATGCATTATGTTAGCATGTTAATAAGATACTTATTTAATACCTTATCCCAGTACATCACCTAATGCCTGACATTAACTGCCGCCGATGGTAAAAGGCACTGATGGTTCACCACCGCAGAAACCTGACAGTTACCTAAAATATTCTGGTGTCCTGGAGATGATCCTGGAGGATCAAGTGCTCAGCAAAAGAGATACAAGCCTGAGAGGCAAATATGCTATTGTAAGCAAGACAATCTTCGGTGAAAGTAGCAGAGGGATATTGAAGGAGGCAGATGTGTGCTTTAGGGGGAGAGTAAGGCAGGAGAGACAGAAACATAAAGAGCCTCTTTGAGAGATGCCTTTTTCAACTAGCGAGAGAAGATCAGGGAACGTTCTGTTCAAGCACGGATGGGAAGGTCAGTCCTCCACTGGAGACCTGGCAGGGAGAAAATAGATCAAACTGAGCAGAGAAACGGTCAATCCACAACAGCGAGGGGAGGTAGGGTTCAAAGAGTCAGGGCGTGCATGTGGATCGGGACGGAAGGTGGAACAAGGACTCAATACCACAAGGTACCATGTGATGTAAAACACCAAAGTGCAAGAGCTTGTTATCCTTAGAAAGGGTTAAAAGTTGCTGTCATGACATTTATTTCATGATGTCACACTATTTGTTGATGTGTTTTTTGTATTTCCCTTCACCAGTGTATTGCCCGTTCTGGATGTGGTGGTGCCACTGCTTCTTGGGTTTCAACATGAGTTTTTTCATGCGTTTACGGGGGCCACGAGTGCAGAAACTCCCATAAAATATCTGTGCCCCGTTAAAGTCAAAGACAGAGTGTGTGCACCGGGTTTGATGGAGGCTTTGGAAGAAAGTAGAATTCCAGACGGGTTTAGCGCAGGTGCTAATCGATGTCCATAGAGAATCAGGCTTTCGCATTTTTCTGCAGAACCACTGATCCAAATAACTTCATTCGCAGAACTGTACATCCCCGGGTCCTCACCAGCACACATGCCAAGCGTAGAGCAGGTCGGTCAGAGGGTCGGCGAGATAATCGAACCCCAGATACACACACACAAACACATCTGTCACTACGATTAAGTTATCTTAGTGTATTATTTAGATACTCTATAGTATTTCGATCTATCTATCTATCTATCTATCTATCTATCTATCTATCTATCTATCTATCTATCTCTCTATCTATCTCAATTGAATAGAGTTGTCAAATGTAATGGATTATGAGCATTTATGTATTAACATTTAGGAATCATTTTAATGTTGCAACTGATAAAGGTGGAGCTAATTTTAACTACTTCATATACCGCAAGGAGACTTTAGTGATTTATGAAAATACATCCTCTTTTTGATTATATTCGGAATTAAGCACAGAAATACAAGCATCTCATAAATGTACTTGAGTACAGGACTTGAGTAAATGTACTTTCCAGCCCTGGACCGAGGCCAGGATCCTGGGAGCGCAGCCAGGAGGGAGTTACTGCAGTCCAGACGAGAGATGACTAAATCTTGTAAGTTGCCGCGCTGAGTCCCCTGACAATCTGCCAAATCTGCAGGATCGTTCAACATGAGCCCTGCTGGAGGCCTGAGTGTCAGCTTCACATAGAGTGAGGAAGAGTCACAATAACACACAGCTTTGCTCTGAATTTAAAGGAGAGGTCCTGCGGGGGCTTAATGTCCTGTTTAAAGAGTTAGCACGGATTCACCAAAGTCACACAATAACACCTAAGAACTAATCGATGGAGGCAGCAGTAGAGCAGAAACTCCCGCGTTCTGCGAGGTAAAATGACTGTTTCTGTCAAAGGAGCGTGGTGGCTCTGAAGAGGGGATAGATAACGGCTTCAGTCCCCCGTAGGAAAGGGTTGAGTGACAGCAAGGTTAAGCGGTGAAAAGATTCTAAATATAGCGTGCACTGCACTTAAACTGATATTGATTTTTTTTTGGTGGGCCTTTCTTTTAGGCGTCTTGTATACGTTTTGCTGATGTCCACAGCAATACATTTCTCAGCTTCTGTGCTGGTTCTCTGCCTTTTCTCCTGAGTGGGGGTGTGTCGACACCATCTAATGTATGTAACACACTACATATGGGTAAAGTACCTCTACTACCCCACTTCAAAGGATCTGAACTATTGCTTAAGAGTTTGTCTTTGTGTAGCTGCAGAATCGGGAGCCTGAGAGAGACAGCAGAGATTCACAATAGTCAACACCTAATGAAATAATGAAATAAAAGCCTGGAAAATGTTCCCTCAGACGTTGGAAATAACAAGATCATTCCTAAGTACAGACAAAAATGAACATACCTTTGGATATCATTCTCTTTTTCCATCAGGATTCCCATATTTCTAACAATGTGCCAAGCTGCAGAGATTTAAATGTCACGCTCGACAGGTAAAGTGTTAGAACCTCACATTCATCATTTTGTAACGTGAAGAATGTGTTGCGGTTTTTAACATTTCACGCCTGTCAGGCATTTTAAAGGACATAATAAAGACTAATTGTATCAGCGAGTTATGTAAAGTGCTGCTGCCTCAGGATAAAAACAAAAGACTCTTACCACTAAGACAAGGATCATGGGACCTTGGTAGATGTAGTCTGTGTAAACGCCAGCTCGCTTTCCAAACCAGCACCTGCAATTAAACAGAAAAATCACAAATGCTTACTTCTAGGCAGGTGTAATTATATTGTCACTCTTTATAAAGTATTCAGAATATGAATTTATTTTTGTTGAGCTGCTCAGGATGTTTATACATGTTCCAGTCCGAGAAAACACATTTTCTTTGAAATAAATAAATATCTTGAAACAAGAAGAACGTCGCAGCACTGAAAAGCTTGAAAAAATACTTTCTTTGAGGTAAAAAACTAAACTTATAACTAAAACTTATTCTAAAACATCATGGATCAAATGATGAACAACAAATGCCTGACTGAATTTGGTTTCTTCTACCAAAGAAAGAAATACCCTGAAAGAAGAAGAACATTGCTGCACCAATTTTTCTTTTAAAGAAAAATAATTTATTTGAGATTGAAAATAAAAATCAAACATTTCAAATTGATAAGAGGATAAGGCTGGTGTTCTATATTTCTATTCTTGTCAACAGATTCAATGGCAAAAGCCCAAAAGGCGTCTCAACACTAACTGACGTCCCTGCCCTGTCTGTGACACTCAGCCTCGAGCCCATCGGATCCTTCTGAAGACATAAATATTAAAAAATGGGTCACAAATTCAATTATTTAAAAAATGGAAAAATAATATACCTGAAAAGATGGTCTGTGTAGTTTCGGTGCTATTCCTCTAAGTATTCATCTAAACTTCTGGGAAGAAATTAAAATGTGCAAAAAGTAACCCTTTTTACGATTTAACGTGTCAGCGCTTCTATTGCACACTCTCAGAATGTAAAAGAGGATGGCATGATTTGAAGGAGAGGACAAAATAAATAATGTAATTCAACGTTGCCATGATGAGTGGAAATTCTGGGCGAGACACTCCCCCCCCCCCTCTGATGATGCTTATCATTTAAACGGAACTATATGGCTATTACCGCTGACCTTTTGAATAGGACTGTTTTGCAAAGAGGCTAATTTGCATAGGAAAGGGAACATTTTCCACGAAAAGCATAGCATATTATGTCATGTAAATATGTGCAAATGACACATGAGAACCAAAAAGTCATTTACTGCAGTTAGCATTGCATTTCAACCCTTGTTGATTTTGACAGTAAGAAAAACATCAAACACTGACATCCTTATCCTTAATGACACTTGTGCTTTAAGGGTTTTAATTAGATGTTTTTCAGCACACATATATATATAAAATGCAGAATCCATTTTCACCTGTGTACCAAGTGCAAAAAGAGACACTTTATATCAATCAAGATCCAAGCACTCCCTCTCAAAGTGGAAATCGCCAGAGGGATAATATGTAATTAAGAATATTGTACAATGAAAATGTGATTACCGCAGGTTAATAATAGACATTAGTCTCCTTAATGCAATACAGTTTGACTTTGCCTATGTCCTTTTATTAGCGGGTTTGGTTTCTCTGAAAAGAGGAGGCACAACAAAGGGCTTACTTTTCATTGTCGTAGTACAGCTTCCCAATCGCCCATGCCACAATTATAGGGAAGGGTATACCTGTGAAGGAAAAGAAAGGACACATAACAGATTCTTTCATCTTTCTCTGCTATTCAGATCACAAAATATGCCTTCAGGGATTTCACGCTGCAATAAGAAGTCCTTGATTCTTTTTTTCACCAGCGCCTGCCAAGCTCTGTCAGAAGCTATTGTTCCTGGTGTGCTGTGATCCACAGATTCAAGCCGAGACATGTCACCATGTGAACTTTTTGTGAATGAATGAGTAGCTGGACTCTGCTTGACGATAATGCAGAGTGATCATCTGATTTACTGATTTAAGGGAGTATAATAGAGCAGACAAACAGCCATTCCTTGACCATGAGGAATGTGCCAGATGCCTCGTCACATGTTAGTCAGGAAATGTTCCACTTAGAAATATACTGCCATTAGTGTAATGGTAAATCTCTATAAAAATATACTCCCACATGCCCAGATTACTTGAAAAATGTAATTTGTCTTGATTTAATCTCGTGCCTATGCCCATCTGCTTTAATAATAATGTCTGCTCTTGAAGCCCGAGTTGAAGCTAAGCGAAGCAAATAAAATTTGATCTTATAAATGTTTGCATGGCCGTCCTGAAATGTGCTGCCATATATTCCTTCACACGGAGGCTTCACGCGGCCCCGGGGGAAATGTAATCCAGATGGCACAATACACCTAATCTCAGCAGCACATAGTTGAGTTTGACAGTGTGAAACGGGGTGTTAGTGAACTCCACACCAAGACGTTTCCAAGCTGCCACAGCAAATCCTGGTATCTCCATCAAGTAATCTGCTCCCATTGTTAGCTTAATGTGTGTCTGACCCTCAGTGTGGTCTGTTAAAGCGAAATATCTAAACTGACTGGAGTTAAACAAGTAGTTTAACATTTGAGAAATACAATTACTCGCTTTCTACGCTATTCAAATTGATACTACTCAACAGCCGGGAGCCAATTAGCTTAGCTTAGCAATACCACTAGAAGCTAGCTTGGAAAATACTCCCTTATAAAAAACAATTTGTCCCTTAAACAATTATCTTTGTGAACATTAAATATGGTAGATTGAGGTGTTAGTAAGTGTATTTTTGATATTGGTAAGAGCATGCTACTAGTCTTTATGCTAAGCTAAGCTGACTGTTCCTGGCTCTCGATCTATACTTAACACGATTGATATCACTTAACAAGTGAGTGATATCAATCCTCCATTTGAAAGAAAGTAAATAAGTGTATTTCCCCAAAAACGTAAACAATGCTAACTAAAGCTTTTTCAAGCCGCAATGTTTAATCTACTGATCAGTTAGTTACCAACTATAATGATTAATCCATTAAATCATTTTCATGCCAAATGTAAGAAGAAATGCAGATTGTTTCCGTTTCTTATTAAAGTGAATATCTTTGGTATAACAAAATACGGTACCACTTTACAATAAGATTACCCTTATAAAGGGTTTACGAATAGTTTGTAATTAATTAATTAATTAAGTTGTGAACACTTTATAAATCATTAATAAGCTTTTATGAGACATGAGATAAACAGGGCAACTGTGACCGGTTGCTTGCCAAATAGTGAGCCCACATGTATCTGTACTGCTAAGCCTTATATTGGCTACCTAGCTTACTTCGTCTTCTTCATCAGCCAGCATCCTTGGTATCTGTTGTTCACTGAGTTGATTCTCGCTAAGTAGCCAATATAAGGCTTAGTCATCTTGCCAAATAGTGAGCCTGAGTGAGTTTTATTGTACGTACACCAGCCGATGCAGATGAACATCCACTTGCGCAGCTTGTCGGTGGAGTAGGTGAGGACGATGGCGGTGTGGAGGTAGCAGCCTTCGCCAAACATCCAGAAGAAGTTGGTGGAGTGGAAATAGTTGAAGGAGGCTGTGACGAGGCGGCACCAAATCTACGAGACAAATTATTCAGTTAAACATTTTACAGTTTCTAATTTTGTCCTACTGCAAAACACTGCATAGCACACCACATGTTCTGTGGGTTACATTATTATCATTTCATCAGGAAACTGTTGCTAAATGGTCTGTCAAAGGAATCTCTGTTTGAGACTCAACGGTTTTTAATACAAGAAACATGCTCTTCTTTATGACTTCCTTGTCCACCAGTCATTTGTAATACAAGTTTTATTTCCCAGAAACACACAGGGGATAACTTGAGTGAACTGAACACATATGGGGGATTTTGGATCCGTCCAATTGAGTTAACAGGCTTAAAGAATCAATGACCAGGAGTATTCAAACTCCTCTGGTGGTTAAAGGCAACCCAAAACCTCACTATAAAGACACATTATTATGTGAAGTTCATGAATACAGCAGCTGTTTCTTGAAACTCAGTTGCTGGGCCGTCCTTGAAGACACTAACAAGAAAGTATTCAAAAAATAATACAATTCAAAAACATTTTATGTAAAGAGGAACAGCTTAATAATTGAAGGATGATCATTTTTAGCACCAAGTCAGACATGTGCAAATACACACAGGATGTCATACACTTTTTAAAGAAAAAGGCTGGTGTTTCTTTAACCCTAACCCTTAACCAACAAGGTGTAACTCCTAAGAGTTTCTGTAACCATGACACTCATCAATCCTACTGCAGATATAAACCATACAAAAAGGCTTTATATGTGTTTATAAAACAGCAGGTCATTGCAGTTTTTATCAAACATTGCAAACAGAGGAAAAGAGCCCATTTGTTGGGGACTATTTCCAACGGCGGATTAATCCACAATTGGTGCTCTTGATAGTATTATGTGCATGGTGCAGCATGGTGTATGTAGGAATAACTCCAGTATAAACTGCAGTGTTTGTGTTGATAATGATAGACCCTCAACAGTTAATAAAACCCCCAAAAGGAAGTCATAGCGGTAGAAAACGATAGAGGCTCAGAGATTGTATACTATATATTTGGATACAAAATATTGTTCCAAGTAAGAGAGAAAAGGTTTCCAGACCGAGCCTCTTAAGGACAATTTAGGTTCTTCAAATTGAGTTGTGCCTAATCACTTTCCGCTTTCTTGACGGTTTGGCAGTTTCCCAGTGAATAAACACCAAACTGTCGTGCTAATGAAGACAGCAGCACACTGTGTACCTGAATGTGTAAACACTTGGTCCAAATAATGCAATTACTGGATCAGGTCCAATCCCCTAATACAAATACTAGAGAATGCCACAAAGATGACCGACCAGATGATATACGTTTTGGGCAGCTCCAAAACAAATGTTACAGTGTTCCAATTAAGTTGATCCAATCCTGGGAACATCTTTTCTAATCTGCTGCTGCTAATGTGTCGTCTATCTATTACAGCTTTGATTCTAATGAAATATTCTGCCTTTTTCTAAGTAATCCAGCCAAAAAAAACGACCTAAATGTATTTTTACAAAAAAAGAAAAGTACATCCCTTATGGGGGTCTGATACAAAACGATCACTTTTGTTCAAATATCTTTGTCTTTGTACTTTTGTGTGATTGGTTAATAATAAGAAAATATATAATATCACAAGACATGTCCTTTAGTCCCGAAAGAAAACTGTTTCTTGTCAAAGATCTAGAGATGAAGTGGTACGTACCACGTTACTTTCGTGCACTGCGGGACTCATGGTCATTTGGACGATAAACCATGTGGCGTTCCTCAGGATGAAGGCGGTGATGAGGTTCCAGTGGATGATGTTTCTCAGGCAGCGGATGCTCCTGCGAGGCAAACAGAGAAGAACAAACTCAGATTAAATAATTAATCAAAATGTGTATGTAAATGAGACCAAATTTGGGGAATTTTTCTATTTTGTAGCGTATTCTTAACCGAGACAGTACACTAACATCGAAATGAAATATACCCCAAACTGACTGGTTAAACATTTTTTTAAACATTTTGGCAAGTACAACTACTGGCTTTCTTTCTGAAAGTTCAAGATAAAAATTGAGTGGCAAAAATGCAGGTACAGCCAGAGGATGATTATCCTAGCTTAGCATAAAGAGACTAGATGTGGTTGGAAACAGCTAGCCCCACAAATCTGAAACAAATAGCCTACATGCAATATGTGATACATTTCTCTGCATTTTGAAATATTAAATATTGCAGTAATGCTTGAGTTTTTCCATGAAAATGTAATAATACGTTATTTATGGTATAACCAACCAAACTGAATGTCTTCAAATATGCTAATTTTATGCATACTGGCTCACTTATAAAGATACATTTAGTTAGATTATCTTGACTCATTGACCTAAACTACATTAAGTGTCACATGATGCCTTAACTTTCTTTGATAAATTAACATGTACAGATGAAAGCCTCTATTTTGGTTGGTAATATTATTGTAATATAATTGTTTTTATTATTATTATTTTTGGGGAAATTGCAACTCCCACATTATGTAAGAATGAAGATGTAATAATTTGTTGCAAATAAATTAGATTTTGCATTCAAGCTGTTTATAACAAAGTGCAGATGATAATTATAAAATGTGGGTGTTATAACAAAATGAAGAGAACGTTTATCACATACTGTATGTGTTGTTACAGGCCTGTTAATTAGAGGTGTTGGTAGATGTGTTTTTGAACTTTGGACGCTGTGTGTAATTTCATATTTACAGACATGAAAGAGCAAACTGGTAGAAAATATGTTAATTAAAAAAAATGTTGCACTGAATTTGAATCCAACACATGCTATAACCCTTTAAGTAATCTTGGAAATAATGAAGATATGTAGCCTCAACATGTCCCCTTGCCCCTAACATAACATAAAGTAACATTTCCACTGTAATCCTGTTTGTGTCATGCCCTGAACATTTTATGTCTTTATAAATTATGCAAATGAATCAACCTTAGGATACAATTAAAAATCTGCCTCAGAGTTAGAGGTCGAAAATAGAAGCACACATAACGGATGTAACAAAACGACCCCGGTCACAGCACTGACAGCCCGCTTGTTGTCACCAGCTGACGGCATCATCAGCCAGCAACCATGAATCACATGATTTCTTTTTTAAGCATGCATCAATTATTAATAAGTGCCACTTGCACTGGCTTTGTGCTGACTGAGCAGCCGCGCAGGAGCAAGATTGTTCCATTGACACTGCATTGATGTGCCCTTTTACTCCAATTTTTATTAATCATGGAGCTTTTAAAGGAAATAACGACCTTCGTAACACCATAACATGCAGAGAAATGCTGGTGCAGTTTGCAATTAGTACAATATTACAAAGAAGTAAAACAGAAGCAACCTAATCGGTACAAAAATAAGTATTATCAATGGTTTGTTCCCCAAAATAAGCAGCTAATCTGCATCCTTTTGACAATGAGTACTAATGGCAGCAACTGTCATCAAAGAAGATGTTTTCTTTCAACAACTGATTCATTACCCAGTGTGATCTCACTCCCTTTGGCATCCTGTCAGTGAATCAGCTCGGCCTGATGGGTATTAATTACCGACTCCGATCTTAATGCAGGTCTCAACCTGTTTTCTGTCAATTTATCTCATCCTGTCTTTCAGTACCAGTGGATCCTATCCCCAGTGTATAACCTTACACTTTAAATAAGTATGCGTAGGACAATGTGTCAATTCTATGGATTTGTATTGATCTGGCTCTATAAAAAATATTAATTTAGCTTGTTTATTGGCCATAAAAGCCCCCATATGGTGACTTCTGGCACATTATTTTCCATCAAATACACTCAATCCTAATTATTGCATATTTTAATGAGCAGGGGGGTGCATTTTTATATAACTTTCCCATTGTTATGTGCCTCTTGTGGTGTGTTTGTAATGACTTGACCTGCTGACAATTGGCTTCATTTGTGTTTAATCAAGCCCAAGATGATTGGCTTGGTGCGCCCAGAGAGTAACCCACACACAGGGTGACTCATCACGCACCGAGGAGAGTTCAATAAGGACGTTTCTTTTTTTTTCCTGTCTGTGCAGCCTTGTAATTGATCAAAAACAAACATTTAAAATCCATACTTTACTCTGTGTGTGAATCATCCCCTGCTGCACTGTTAATTAGTGGAATTTGTTAGTTAATTCGTGCATCAAACCCCCTTTTTACCATTATATAATTGATATCATTCTATTAAGAAAGAAAAAAGTAATAATAACATTTAAGAAATAAATCACTGCTTTATTTTATTCCCACTTTATATATTAGATTGTATGCTATATCTTGCTATGCTCTTTCATTTCACTGATAAATAGTTCTGTATTATGTTATTTTGCATACTCTTTAAACTTAACCTATTATTATTTATTTATGGTTACATAAAATGAGATAAGATAAGATGAGAATGTATTCATCCCTTAGGGAACCCTTTAGTTGTGGGCTGAAAGGTAAGAAGGCAGATAAACATACATTACATTCCTTAGATTATATTAGTAGTTTGTGCAAAATAAATCCTAGAGTGAATCTCTGGCAGACATCATGTCTGAATTAAAGTTTCAAAAACAATATGAATACAAATATGAAAAATTATAGACAATGTTAGACATATATGCAAATTGTAGAAATACTACAAACGAATGACACAATAGTATAAACAAAGTTGAAAAAAAAAAATATATATATATATAAATATATATATATAAATAATACAATGTAATAGCACAATTGTTTATTATCATTAAAACGTATAGCTATACTGTATACCTATAAATTACATTAAGTTACCACATTACAGTTTAAGAATAATTTACCGATATAGTCTAATGTATTGTAATGTTTATAATATATTTTCCAGAGTTTTAAATCAGAAGTTTCATTATGATAACATATCATACCAATTCTTGGGACAACAATACGATTTTAATTCAATTCAGAGGCCTACGATCGATATGAGGAGTATCAAACTGCCACACTATCAGTTACGTTAGATCAACTTTATGAATATAATCAATAATCATTATAACTGGAAAACTGCATTACTGGGCTCTGAGGGGAGGAGCTACACTTGGCTAGAAATGGCACAACTGTGCCATGGGTATTATAAAACAGAAGAGTATCTTTATGATGTTTTCATTTTGCATTGATGCTATTGGAACATTGAATCCGTACATTGATCCAGATTCATGTATCGTTACACCAATTTCTTTTTTATTTGACTTCGTTCAAATAGCTCTTCATTTGTTTGCTCACCTCTTAGCCTGTCATTGTGCTGCTATAACAAAGTATTCTTAAATGAAGTGTTGAAAGCATGTCAGTCGAAGGACTTTGTGAATACTTAAAGTATTTTTTTCTCCGGCTGCGAAACATTTTAGATGACTAATTCTGCACTCCCCCTCCCATCGTATTAAACTGGCTTCGTTAGCGTGAGTGTGGCGCTAGCTGCTGCTGCGATATAACAGGTCAGTGGTGCGCGTTTGAATATCCGTTGGCAAAAACCATGTTTACATTTCCAAAAGAGGGTGTCTGCGGTCTAATTTATTAATGCTTTCATCTTCCTGGTCTAACATCGCGGGCGTGGGAGGTGTGGGATGGTGAACAGCTTGTCCTCTTGCTCGCTAAATCAGATCCCTCAACCGTTTGATCAATTTCCTCTCTATGTTATGGCCTGATTGCAGACCGAGAGATGAGTTGTTTCCATCTTCCAGGGCATCGTGAAATATAAAAGTCTCATTTATTTTCATGCACATTAAGTGTTAGGTGACTGACAGTTGGAGCGCTTCGAGGCTCGGATGGACACACTTTGACTGTGCCGGGTGAATCATCGAATAAAAAGCTGTGCGAGAAAATATCTGAATGGTAGTCACTGACTGTCGTTAGCTTTTTTTTTCCTCAGCTAAGCTATCGTATCATCTGTTCACCACACCAAATGGTTCGAACGTCTTCAGTGCAGTCGGTTCAGTCTTCAAATACCCTGTTTATGGTGATTTACTGTTTCTCATCCTATATAAGAACATACAGTTTATGCAACGTGAACATTAATGTGGCTTCTGCAGCCTTTTAGAGGGTTCTGGCTAGAAAGGATTTGTCTTGTGAAAATATGTGGTTCTCATACAAGGAAAATAAAGAAGGTTGGAAAGGTTCAGGATTCCGAGGTTGGCAGGAAGGAAATCAAAATAGAGAAGATTCTTTGTGACAGGGATGACAGCCAGGTAGATAGTTTTAGGGGGCTTTCAAAAGCCCTAGTCCGTTTAGCCAATCAGAACTAGGGTGAAATGAATACCTTTGTTTTGTTTTGCAATGCACAAATTAAAGCAGACGCACGAAAAAATGATGTATTTCCTGAGGGAAGTGTAGTAAAACGCACAGTCAGGAATTTGGTGGGAAAAAATGTAAACACAGAAATCAACATGAGCGGAAAAACACTAACAGAACAACATGTAGAAGAACAGAAAAGCCCTTCTGATAAACAAAAACATTGAGCATATTCTCTGTGTTCTCCTTGGCCAAGATCTCAACCAAACATCGGGCCTCTTCCACTCATGGTTCATGTCTTTACCTTGGTCCATCTCAACAACACACAGGCAGCCCATAATCCTGCGTTTTGGTTCACTTCCTATAATTACTTGCGATTATGTTTTCACTGCAAATGAACCACACTAGGGTTCACATGAAAATTGTCCAAGACCACCTCCCAGGAGCTGTCTTAGACCTGTTGTTTTGTTCTGCAGAAGAGTTTGATAACTGCATTCACAACAGACTAAACAAAACGCACCAGTGGTTGGACCGCAACAAATTACGAGTACAATTGACTGAATGTTGGCTTGTGAAAGTGCCCATATATGTCTTGAAACAATTTCATAAATGAGAACGTTTGAAAAGTCAAAATTTGGGTGGACCAAGCAGAACAACATTTTAAAATGTGGCTAAAACGTCCTGTTTCTGCAATAGAGCTAAATAGATAATTATGTTGTATTTCTATGAACTAATAGTTTGAAAAAATGAATAGGTCATAAAAGATATTGCAGTTGATGAATGGGGGAAAACAAAGAAAATTGTTCTCATCAAAGCTACCATCGAAGTTGGCAACACATTTAGCGATGTAGTCACAATCAACCACACAACGCATGAAGAAGATGATCCGTTCTAACCTTTCCAAAGATCTATTCACTGGGAAAAAAACACTTTCAGTTCCACTGCTCAGAGACACTAGTGTCCAAGTATACCCGGTTGACCTTGAGGATTCTGTGTTAAAGATTTGTTCTTACACACTCTGAACACCTCTACTGTCGGAAACATCCAACCAAAAAGCTTAAAATACTATTAGGTGATACATAAATAAAGAGTTTGAATTATTCACTTTCAGATTCTGGATCAGTTTTGGTTGAGATTAAATAAAATATGAAGACAGCTCACACGTATCGTAGTATTTTATGCCATCAGTAGACCGGTAAAGGTTTTTTTCCACTATTTTCAGGGTTGGTGGTTCCATCCCTGAATCTTCGTGTCAAAGTGTCTTTTGCACTTTCCTTCACAAAACTGTTGTTCTTTCATTTTAAAAACAGATTGAGGAATGATATTCTTTTGTCAATTTTTATCACCACCAAGAGTTAATGTTTTCCATTTGGTTTTGTCTTTTGTCGACAAGATTACGAAAAAAACACTGGCTAGATTTTCATGAAACTTGGTAAAAGGGCCAAAGAAGAATCCTTTACTTATCAGAGCAGGCAAATGCCAAACTGTGTTTCACTTAGAATTGCAAGCATTTGTGCTGCATTCATGTGGCATCGGAAAAAAACTGGGTACATTTATGTGAATATCTCCTCATGTTGGAAAATCAACTCAGGAACAGCTGCTCATGACAGTGTTGTTCCAATGCTCTGAGTGATAACACATCTTCTGTTTTAGTGTCCACTTTGTGTCCACATTAAGATTTAAAGCGCATAAATGAATTAAAGTCTCTGGAAATGGGACTATCCGATAAGCACATGAATGCACCACTGAGGAAGTCTTCATTCTAGATATAACTGGGATTTGTTGTCCATGATATTTATTTATTTTTTTAACTTAAAAGCAGTTGAGAGCAGATATAAAACTAGTTCATTTCCACATTATTAAATTTGAACTAAATTGGAAATAACAGATCTTCAGTATATGTATAGGATTATCCAGGAGAGTCCTACGTTTCTGTGAGGAGGATCTTGTTAAAAAGCAAACCCTGAAATTGTAACTCACAGTGCGATTTCTATTCTGTCTCACTGTTTAAACTGCAATTTCAGTGTTTTTTTTTGCCCTCGAGAAATCTCTTCTCTCTGCTGTAATCTTTTCCACTCTCTGGTTCCAGTTCCACAACACTGAGCAGAAGTGTCAACCTTCGCTCCATCACACTGTCAGGGGCAACCTTCCCTTAAATGGCTCTCAATCTCATTAGAAAGAGTAGAAGGTGAGTAATAAATGCCAAACTCCCTCACTACCTTGATGCCATTTTTAGTCGGCTGCCACTTGTCCCCCCTCCCCCTCCCTATCCGAGCCAGGCAACATGGGTTGTGCATAAACGCTGTCCTGTCAAGCTTCTATTTATTGTGTCTCTCTGTGGCCTTTCATGCTTTTCTCACCCCCCGGCGGTGTCTCGGGATCAATAACAGCCCCGGCTGTTGAGGGTGCTAAGACCTTTTCTGTCGTTTACGCTCGGCTTATTTCGGTTTGTCAGAGAAACCCACTCCACCTCCACCAATTGTCCCAGCAGGCCTATGCAAGAGTGTTTTGGTTTTCTCCCTGAGATTGGTCTATTATTCCCATTTGCCGGGGAAATGTGCCCTAGTTTTTGCGGGCCTCTAAACCCCTTTACATCTGCGGGATTGAGATAGGGAAGGTTTCATCCCATGACCAAACGGTTTTTCAATAAGAACGAGAAGCGCTTTGAAACGAGGGATCTCGGGAATACTGACGTTTCTGTCACATCAAAGATGTCTTTAGGATTATCAGCGGACTGGTGGCAGTGGGACCAATACTTACCTCAGACCCAAGAAGAGGAAGAAGGCTACCAGCAGAGCCACCATGGAGATGCAGTGACCCAGGAAGTTGATGATCACAGCTATCTGGTAGTGCATCTTGCCTTTTTTCTGCGGGGAGAGAAGAAACACAGCTTGAGTCTTTTGGGGTATTTCTGATTTACAGAAACAATATTCTCAGGATAAGAGAAGAGACTTCAAAGACTGAAAATTACTTTTTCATCTATTTTTGTTCTTGAAGAGTGGACCCCTGCTGTGGTTTTAAACACAGGCGGATTTAGAAACTTTTAGGATTAGAAATGTGTTACATTTGAAGCTCCGAGCTCGATTTCCATTACATTATTAATAACTTCACTGTCTATATTGTGTAATAGATCATATAAAGAGGCCGCTCAAATATTCTAATGTGAAATAGTAGCTAGAAAATTGCCCCCTGGATTGACATGTACAGTAATAGACCCCCCACCTGAAGTGTGTATTCAACTTGAGTCTTAGTGGTTGCTTTGTACTTATTGGAGATTTTAATTAAGTTGTTCCTTGGGTTCCTTGGGTTAGCACAGAGCTGGGAAAATAATCTTCTTCTACTTCTTAGACTTGGAATAATCTGCATAGCGTACTATATCAATCTACTCCATGTGATAAATCCATCAACCGGAGAAATGCAACTGTTTATTTGAGCTGGATTAAGTCTCCTCCTTGTGTGTTTGATGATTTTATTTCCTGATTGTTGTGTTTTATTTGTATTTAGACTGTTACTGCTGTGCTGCTTGGGCCTGAACTCCCTTAGGAAAAATAGATTCCCATCTCAAGGGACTTCTTGGTAAAATAAACATTAAATACAAGTTCAAAGTGGTCATTTTATGGTCACTTTTCAACATGTATTTGTTGTTCTTTGCGTGACTGTTTTTACTCTTTATTCTTGTGCTTGTCTCTTTGTTGTCATTGTGTATCTCTTAAAAGTAATTTTTCATCTATTTGGGGTGCCTTTTCATCCCTTTGTGATCATTTTACGAGTCTTTGTGGTGGTTTTTCATCTCTTTAATATCTATTTTGTCATTTGGTGTTTTTTTTTTCGTATTTTATGGTCGCTCTGTGTCTCTTAGGGCTTGTTTTGTGTCTCTTTATGGTCGTTTTTTTTATCTCTTTGTTGATTTCCCTATTAGAAAAGATAAGAGCACACACGCTCACATACATTATCCACATTTCTGGCACTGCTGCTGTCTCTGAAGGTTTTACATAGAACACAACTTCCTAGGAATTGGAGCTAAAGAAATCTCACTGCGACTCAGATAGCCATTGTGATCGGATTTCCCCCACACTACCAACAGTAATCTGTGATGTAAATGGATTTACATAACCTAGCAGTGTCTACGCCCAGATTACATTTGGACATGTTTAATCCCTGCCCCCCCCCACCCTGCAACAAATCCTCCCATTCACTTTATTTTGTACATCTTTCACCCTTTTACTGATATTTTGTAGAAAAATGGCTTGGTATTAACACTGTATCATTAATTGTTCCATTTGATATCATTATTGCGCATCGATCTCTGTATAATCTTAGATATTTGTGGAATTGAAAAACAAGTCTTCATACTAAAACAAGAAAATAGGTTATTTTTTCCTTTTAAAAAGAATCACATGACCGTTACAAAATCAGTCATATTTCCCATATGCCACCTCTGTGGATAGGGTTTGACTGATTTTGGCAAAACACTTGGTTGTGGTTACGGAAATATTGCGGTCATGCTTAATGCTTTTCGACAGAATAATCCTGCACTCTCTCAGAATGCGAAATAAATTAAAGGATTTGTACGGATTTTGTTCAAGTCTGTTTTAATACACTTCTCACTTGTCATATGAGGCTGTAACTAACAACTTCAAAAAGTGATTGGCAAGATACAAGGAACTGAGGAATGATTCTTAGAAGTCTTTTACTTTAGAAGTCCTATTTCATGACAGTTTATGCATCCACTTCAACACAATTCAGAATATGTTTTTCATTTTGAATCCACTATATTTATCGGACAGCTTAAGTTACACTAGAAATCAAGATTTCACCAACAAATAACTTTTAAAATATGATTAACTGTGAAAGAATCTGTCTAGCAAACAGTGTGTATTAGCTACGTTATAATTGTGTTGATTGGTGAATTTGAAAAAAATATTCAGCCACTATTTTTCTAAGATTTTGGTTCAAAGTCATGGTTTCAGCCTTTTATGTGTGACAAATTGATATCAGGTCCCTTTCCTGTAGTGTGTTATAGGTTTGTGTGCATGTTAATGGGCTGCAAAGGCTAAAATCCCTAAGTTCCCACCAGAGGGAGTTTCTTTCCCACACACATGATTTCTGGGTAGTTGTTGTGTTTTATTTTGGATGTGGATGTGATTTGAGTGAAATCTCAGAGGAATCTGACTAACCCAATCCAACCAAATAGAGTTGCTTGTTTATAGCATTGTGATCCACAGTCCACATTGTTCAAATTAGGCTACAGCAGTTGGAATTCGACAAATCACTTGGGTATTCCTGTCCTGGGAGTTCCACATTGTGTATTGTCCCAGTAATTCAAACTAAATAAAACTACTGACATGTCCCTCTGCTGCAGCATAATACATTTTTTTACCAAACAAGGAATGTAGATTTTGTCTTACAGCTGAATCACGCTATAAAAGGATCATTTCAAGGGTAGTATGACAGGAGGGTGATTACAATGATTAGTGACTACACTTTGAATGAATTCAATGTATATATGAGCGAGGCTGCTGTAATATAGACCAGAAAAGAGAAAATGTGAGTCAGTCCTTTAAGAGACACTGCCAGACTGGCTAACACATCAGGACATAAATCAAGCCAACAGGAGGGTTTAAAATGGATAGCAGGGCTCAGAGAGGAGGGGGTGGACGACAACAGGATAATATAAGACCCAACCTACCACTCGCCTCAGGTCTCTGAGAAAGTGTGTGGGCTACAAGAGTCAAACCTAAACCTGAATCCCTCTATTTCCATGAGATACAACAAAGACACTTATCGTATATTTGAGAAAATAACCTTGAGACAGGCCCAAAAGGAAAAGAGGATCTTTTTCCTTTTCCTCAAACTAACTTTCCATTAAGCCTTTGATCCATAGAGTTTCTCTTCCCAGCGGGACCACTGAATATCCGGTTCAATACAGGCTGAACTTTAAAGAGAGGCGTCCTCAACGCCTCCCCTCCTGTTCTCCTACTGATGTCAATCACGCCAGCGCTGCCACCTGGTGATTTATTTCATGGCCGCAAAAAGAAAAAAAATCAAACCCATATTTAAAAAGGTCAGACAGTCCATATCCATCTTCCGCAGATCGATTGGACATCAGGCCTAGAGTCTCTCTTGGAAAACACAAAATGAAGGGCCGCGTTCCACAACATGTTTAAATGTCTGAAACTGAAACAACTGTACTGCATCTTGGGACCTGATTGACAAAATCGAGCGTCAAAAAGGATGTTATTCAAGACACAATACGGAAATAACTCTTACAAGAGAAATCAACATTTTGGAAAAAAAGCCTATATGCTTTTGTGTTAAGAGATATTTGAGAAAATCAATAATTCTCAAATCTGTTTAAATGAGTGTGAGCTAAAAGGCAATTAGCAACATTAGCATAAAGAATAGAAGCAGGTTGAAGTTACAGAATAAACACATATGGTACAGTGTGTTAATAGTGAGCTTTAGGGGTGTTTTTAGGGGTATTTTATTTACTTTCGCACTGCTTACAGTCCGCAGCTTAGCTAAGCTAAACTAAGCTAATCACTTCCTAGCTGCAGTTCTATAGGCTAGGCTACTTAGCATACAGACATCAGAGTGTTATCAATCCTCTCATATACTGTAACTCTTAGCAAGAAAAAAGTAAGAATCTATCTTTTCATTTAAATGTTGTGAACAATTTAGCAAGCGGTAAAACAGCTAGCTACTGAGTCTACTTAAAATGACCTTAACTTTAGAAGATTTGTGACGTGTTACAAATTGGTTAAGGACAGATAAAACAAATATTCTGACCTGCCAAACAGACATTGACAAAAGAGACTGTATGTCAAGCTAAATAATTGTACGTCCTGTTGCTGGAAATGCTACAGTACTAGATGTGAATTATTAGTAAAAAAATGTTCCCTTTTAAAAGCATTATTCACTTGTGTTGAGTTACGTTTGATAGAAATCTAAGCGGCCAGCTGCTTTAGGAAACAACTCAGCACTTTTTACATTTCTATTTTTTTAAGATTTATGTTTTCAATGTAACAAACATGGCAAGATGATTTAGAAAAGTATTGAATTACGGACTAACTGATACTGGTTTGGATCTTATCATGTTTATAAGAGATGAGCTATATAGAATATTGCCGGCTTAACCTTTTAAGTGCAGATATAAATTGGATTGAAATCGGGGAAAGGAAAACACAACAGAGCCTATTGAACCAGGGTAACAATGTTGATGGAAACTCAACTGTTGCATATTCAGTTCAGTCTCAGCAGATGGTCAGGTCAGGCAAAACAAAACATGTTGTGTCACATCTTTCCATCATGTCATTTTATATTTCACTTACATCAACTCAAATGTCTACTTGTCACAGCCTAATTTGGGTTAGCGTGTTCTGTGTGAGGGCTTTGTCGTCAGTTCAATCCTAACGAAAAATGTAATCACCACATCTGCACATCACAAAACACCATGCAGGTGGAGGCTAAGAGCATGCAAAAAAAAACTTGTGAATGGATAACAAACTGGAGCACAGCAGGTCCTAAAATGCAGCATGCTGTTGCTTTCAACCAAAGCCAACCGATTGTGTTTTCTTGCTCTCATTGCCAGAGGACAATGCTGTTTAGAAAAATCACATTTCCGTCTGCCATTTATTTTGAGGAATTTACTAAAAGAAACAGTTTTTTGTTTGGGTGCTTTCAAAAGAGAAATAGCTGCAGGTTGATTCGCAGATTATATATTTATAAAACCCGACAAGATGACATTAAAGCTGCAGCGCTTGTTAAATGCAAAACATTCTTTGCGCTCCTGAAGCCTGCAGGGGATGCTTTTGGGCATTTCATAGAACCGCCATGGTAGTTGTAGTCAGTTAGAGGCTGCAGGCTCTGAGGAACCAAACCTGGAATCTATATTTACTATAAATAAGCTCCGAGCAAACCTGCAGCATTCATCTTCCCCTGCTAACCTCGCCTTTGTTGTTGGTTTTTGATTATGTTTAATGCTGCATGAAAAGCTTCATTAATCAGAACACATGCACACAAACAACACACGCTGGGACCTCTTACCTCCTCGTGAAGTATGGCCTTACACATGGAGTAGTTCCCCTTCAGCGCCCATGTCCCGTTTGCAAGACATTTCTTGTAGACGTTATCTGTACAGAGAGCAAGAGAAGAAAAAAACTATGGTTATAGAATAATTTTCTTACGTTTTCTGTTATTTTTAAGTGAATACTTCTTGTGTTTTGGTGTTGTATCCCTGGAAATGGACAGAATGTGAATTCTTGCAAGATTACTAGTGGCACCGTGACCTTTTCTTTCGTTTTGAGACTAATAGGTAGAGATATCATTAGAGGTAGTCACACAAGCTGTGAGTTTTCACACGTTCTCTGTCAACACAGTCTACCACCCTCTGCCAAAGCATAGTTATCTTTCCTTATATTTTGACCCCCGCTTTTTTAATGCAAATGACCTGCATACAATCTGCATTTTTTACTGTTTTACATAAAACTGGTTTTCCTTCAGTCCTGCTGTTCATAAGCAATGAGCAAATACAATTTTACTACAAGCTGTGACGAAATTAGAAGGCATATTTTTCACAATTTCAATCTGTTAAATCAAAAGAAAGACTCAGACTGGAGACTAGACAGGAGTGACCCAGTGATTATTTTCTATATAAAAAACACACTTTCTGCATATTGCTGGGTAATGAACCCAAGTAGTAGGGGGTCGGCATGAAAGCCCTGACAAATGGTAAATACAATTATATTTTTCCATGCCGGCTTGCTCTATCACAGCAAACATTTCTTGCTGCAATCTCGAGCCAAAAATAAAGTAATCTCTAGCAAATGTTACATTTATTATTTTCTTAAGATGAAGGAAATGGAATCGTAAAGTGGGACCCTGTGGAGTTGAAATACTGCAGTGAGGCAATTTAAAGTTGAAAGGGAAGATAAATATTTTACATTCGATATTTATTTTGACATCAGCAGCTGTCTGCAGGTGAGGCTGCTGGATGGTACAGCCTGAAAGCTTGAGGTTGCATTAATTAAAAAATGATAAGCATGTATTGAAGTTGTGGTGCTCGCCATAAATTGAAGTAAACAAGTTGAAATATAACAAAATAAATGGAGGATTGTTTACTTCTCCAGGAAATGCTTTCTGTCATTTTCGAGACAGTCAGCAGCGGAAGCACGTACCAATGTGTCAGACAGTTAAACCCTCCTACCGTAACAAAGCATTTTTCACTCAATAATATGGACAGATCTGACCCTGATCTCAAAACGGGGGCGACTCAGGTCATTAGAAACCTTTCCCAGTGACAGATCTCAGAACTGGGTGCAGAAAGTGAAGTTTGCTGAGCAGTCAACGACACGGTTGAAGCTACATTGGTTTACTCGGCAATAGGAAAGCTGTCAACATCCATAAATAATGAGACATAACATCAATAAAATGAAGTGCTTGTTTGCTTCTATTTTGGGGGACGGTTTTGCTCTCAGGTTACATCAACCAAACGTTTGGACGAATAGTAAATATCTATACCGTCTACACTTTAGATAACCTTGGTCCATATCCCTGAATTACGGTCCACATATTAGTGCTTATTATAGATATAGAATATATGAATGAATGAAATGGATGAAACCCTCCGATTCTATATATTTAATGGTCACACATGCAGAGCAGATGGCCTCTGCATTTAACCCATCCTAGTAGTAGGAGCAGTATTAAAGGCTCTTCGGAAGGAGAACTCATCAATGTTAAAACGGTTATATACAGCATTTTTATAATCAATATGGTTTATATGACTATAGAATTTTAACCCGCTTCTGCAGCTTAAGGGCGCGTTCTATCATTTTTTAGCTAATTGTTTTGATTTGTTTTGGTGAAATCGGATATTATTTTATTGTAAGAGCAAACATTTGTATACATTTTGAAGCGGAAATTATTTAAAGAGGACATAAAATTTCAGATTCATATTTGTATTTTGTGCCTCGACTGACATGTCTCCATGCTCTAATGTTCAGAAAGCTCTTTATATTTCTCATACTGCCTGTGCTGCAGCACCTCTTTTCACCCTCTGTCTGAAACCAGAGCTCAGTCTGCTCTGATTGGTTAGCTGACTGGCTCTGTTCTGATTAGTCAATCGTTTAGAGATGTCCCGCCCCTTAGCCTATCACGTACAATGTGTTGGAGCGCTATCCAATAGAAGCACAAGTGTTACATGAAGCTCAGCGCAAGTTCAACCAGGAAGACCTTCTTTACTCATTCATTCACTATTTCCATGTTACTACTCTCTCTCCTCTCAATAAGTGATCGGGGGCGTCACTCCCCAGCTTAACCAATCACTTCGCTCTATTCTCACAAGCCTATCATAGCGCTTCGCTAAACCTTTTAAATCTGCTCTCCCCTCTGACAGCTGTCATTTCAGGTGACTCGACTCAACCCTCCTCCATCCCCTTTTTCACCTCCTGTCCCTCTGAATCCAGGGTCAAGCTAAGCCCCTCCCCTTCAGACTGAACGCAACTATCCATTCACCACCACCAGTGTCTAGACCCCGGGGGATTTCATCGGATCGGTTCTCCCCTCCCGAATGATACTCCTGCACAACGCCGGGGCCTAATCGCCAAAACTCCATTACATTCATTCGTGTATTCCTGGCAATAAATATGTATTCTTACATCAAAACTGTCTCTCCTGATTGAAATGGTGATGTCATTATATCACAGAATAAAACATAGGAGTCTAATTAAACTTAGAAGAAAGTTGAATATGTCCAAAATAACGAAAACAAATTGAAAGTTGAATAATACCCAGAACGAATGAACGATGTGTCAACTGTTTAAAAGTTTGAATGGAGTTTTTAGCTCACAGCATAAATGAGTGGATAACAATAAAACATGCATGAAAAAGTGAGAAAACTTTAAATTACACACTAATATGAACAGATAAGCCATTTGTTTTAATGCAAAGGTGGAACATTTCTGAAAGTTCAGAAAAATGTATGAATAATATCCAGAATTTCATATGAGATAAACATTTTGAAGGTTGTATGACGTTTTAACATATTCAGCTTTCACCACCAGCAAGCAAAATGGAGTTAACTCCCAACAAAACCGTGGACTTTAACATTATATCATCTCGTAAATAATTTCTACAGATCAAAAAGGTGAAGCATGAATCTACAGCTCTTGCCGCCCATTGTTCGAACAATATTTGATGACCAAAAAACGACAGTATTCCCTCCATACTTAACCAACAGGTCATTCTAGTCAAAATAGCATATAATAAGTCTCAAAAGTAATAAGACTCACATTACAAAATAATATGTATTCTTCCTTCTGGTTTACTGATTAACTCATTTGTTATTATAACACAAGAAGGACATTTTCAAAGTCGTCGAGAGATGAACTCTGCATTATCTTAAAAGAGTATATGAAATGCGACCACATTAGTGTGGAGGTGGCCTGCGATGGAGGCTAATTTCTTTTTTGCATGTTTAAATAATGAGAGATTTTGAGATGGGATTGGGTTGCCTGAGGGCAATAATGTGAAATGAGTGGGGTAAAAATAGCATGTTGACACTGGAAGGGGACTGTCATGCCCAATCAAGATTACCTCGCCTGTGATATTCCCTAAACCCCAAAAGCAATATCCTAGAGAGCCTGAAATCTGTCCATGGAGAATTATGTCAAAGTCAACATTTCTCTCTGCATGGACATCTATATCCAAGAATAAACATTTGTATTTAGTTCCTAATGGAGAAGATTCAACAGTACATTCCACTATTTTGCTTTCTTTACTTGAGAAAATCTTAGTGTACTGGTACAAATCAGACATATTAAAGAGAGTTCCCATAATTATCTGCTTTTATTTCAATCAAATTGACACAACAATGCATGAGTGGCTTCAGAAAGCAAACAGAATTGTGTAAAAACAGAGAAAACAACCAAAAACGGGACCGCACAGAGACATCACAGTCGAGGTGTTGTGTGAATGGTAGCGCCTTCAAATCAAGCGGTGTGACCTTGTAATAAATTCTTTCTGGCACTGGACCACACAGTGATTTATGGCCGCTAAACCGCTTCATAGAAATAGACCATATTATGTCAAACATATCGCACCAAAGACTGAAAGTAATTGAAATCTTCATCTTTATGTTATAAGTTCAGTAAGAAGCAATTGATTAATTTATTTTACAAGTTTTACAGCTGAAGCAAAACAAGGTGGATTTCCTGCATAACTCGCGGTGGACGGTAACAAAGTATATTGACTTGAGTACTGTACATAAGTACATTCTTCCTCAGTATCTGCAGTTTATTTGCAAATGATGGGTAACTTATTCCTTTTACTCAACTGAAAGACAGATACTATATTTTTGGCTTCACTACATTTATATGAAGCCCCCCGTTAGTTGTTACTTTAAAGCATAGCTTTGAAGTAAGCAAATTAATTTACTTTTCATAAATGCATAAGGCTAGGCTACAGTTGAGTCCTACTTATATACAATATGTTCTTTGTCAGTAGTTTTCCAACAATGAAGTGGCTAATATTGGGCTTGAACTTCTATGAAGCCTATGAGATAAACAAATATATATATATAAAAATTAAACAATAATCAATTGACTTTCCCGGAAACAAGTTAATCCAAATAGTACTTTTGTGATCAGGCAATTGACGGTCAGAATAAGTTGTCAAAAAGAATGCGCCTAATAATGTGGTGTACCATGTTAAATAAGGTGAACAAACTATGTGGTTAGAAAACTGTGGCATTACTCCATCTAACCCCAACCCCACAATTGTATTGTCTCAAGCATTATGCTTTTTGGGGTTTTCCCTCTCCTGTAGTGTGTTGTATAGGTTTTTGTGCATGTCAATGGTCTGCAAAGGCTAAAATACCAAAGTTCCCTCCAAAGGGAGTTTCTCTCCTGTACAACCATAGTATAGTAACATCACCTAGTAACACTTGTGCTTCTATTGGCTAGCGCTCCCACACATTGTACGGGAAGGGACGGGGAATCTCTGAGCGGTTGATCAATCACAACAGAGCCGGCCAGCTAACCAATCAGAGCAGACTGGGCTCTGGTTTCAGACAGAGGGTGAAAAGAGGTGCTGCAGCACAGGTAGTATGAGAAAAATACAAATATGAATCCTG